ATGAACTTGTCTGTGAATTGATTGTCGGTGAACTAAGTTGTCTGTGAAGTGATTGTCGGTGAAATAACACGTATCCATCGTCATAACCGCGTCAACGTGAGCGGGCGCAGCAATTTCCGATTCACGATTTCCGGACCTCACAATACGTATCTTGTTACATGCGGGTTTTTCAGTGATTGTTAGATTGAGTATTGTATGTACAGTACTGTATAGGTGGCTCAGATGTAAATCAATGGGCTAGGTATGATAGAAGGTTTATTTCACATGTTAAGATTGATGCGATAAATCAATTGTTTGATAATTAAGAGTATTTAAGCTGTACTGTGTATATGTTAAGAGAGTTATCTTTCTTCTCGCCTTAGTATAGAGGCTGGCTCTGTCGTCCCTAACCCACCCCAAGGCTTTTCCGGTTTGTAGGTAAGTCAGGCTCCACGGCTGCATTTGCAGTGCAAGGAACTGGAATAGCAAATGTTAGGCTCCGCGGCTGCAGAAGCAGTGCAAGAACCTTATTTCCTTATGTGTAGGCTCCGTGCTGCAGCAGTGCTAGGACTAGGTATCTTCTTTTCTAGGTTCGGCGACTGCAGGCAGTGCAAGGACCATGTATTTTGATATTTAGGCTCTGCGACTGCAAGCAGTGCAAGTCCATGTGTTTTCATATTTAGCACTACAGCTGCAGTGGCAGTGCAAAGACCTTTTAGCATTCAGTGCTTTCATACCACAAGTACATCAGCAGAAGTATTCCGATTCTCGTTGCAGCTATGTAAATAATAGACGCGGAATTGAGTTGTAATGTAGTAAAATAGTATTTCCCTCTTTGGAGATTATGTCCTGTTCATATTATACATATGTAACCGATAGTTTTAGTAGTTCCTTCCTATTTTCTGTTAGTATATAGGCCACCTATTCCCATATGCTTCTTCAATGCTTAATAGTAATAAAGTCTCTGATCGAGCAATAATAATGCTGCACGTACGTACTACGTTTACATATTGTTCTACATATTGTATAAATTCCATTCTTGATAATTATAAATAAATAAAGCTACTAACTGAATCAAAAAAAAACTAACCCTAGCGTGCCTGGCTTTAACGTTTTTCCATCAGGAGTGCGAGTAATTGTAGTTTTTAGACTTATTGCACCGTCGTACATAATGTAAATGGATCTTTGCCGTGAAAATGATCTTATGGAACATTGTAATTACCACGACCGTAAGGTCATTTTCAAGGCAAAATCACCAAATACGTAGGGGTGTTAAAATGTAAAAAAATTTAACTCCGTTCGTGTTAAAATCAAATCTGAAAAATTTGTTATATTTTGCAAAGGTTGCATTGCTATATAAAAATGCAGATTATTTTTGAAATTTAATCTTTATGATTATCAAACACTTCTATAATCACATTTTCATACCCAAGGACGGGACTATTGAGAGGTTTGAATGTGTATGTTCTAAAAGATTGTTTTGAAAACAGATACTGTAGTATTAAATCATTTTAATATTTTTTTTTTCTTTATGAACTATTATAATAACATAAATTATCCAACACTGAAATATTTTAGCTAAAATAATTAATATTCAACCCCATTTGGGAAAAAGTCAATGGGTTTAATCCATTGATACCATTTAAATCTTTTATTGGGTTTATCTGGGCAACTGATAATGCGATAACGTGGTTTTTTTAATTATTTATATCAACTTTAATGCGACATTCAAATTTTAAAAACTTTCTTTTAGGGAATTGATATTTCCACACCCTATTTGATAATGCCACATCCATGTGGATCATTAATTTTTATAATTTTTTATACAATTGATCGCGACATCATCCTGAGCATATTCGATCAACTTCTTTTAATTATAGAGCGCCGTAGAATTCAAAGAAAAAAAATTGATCAAAATTGGTCAGTGGGTGCCGAGATATCTTCGATCAAAGTTTTTGTAAAATTCTAAACGTCTATCAAATATAAACTACGGCAAAAATTGTTTACAAACTTTGATCGAAGATATCTCGGCACCCACCTGACCAAATTCAATCACTTTTTTTATCTTATTTATTAGAAAGCTGTAGAATTCAAAGAAAAAAAAGTTGATCGAATTTGCTCAGGTGGATGCCGATCAAAGTTTTTGTAGAATTCTAAACGTCTATCAAATATAAGCTACGGCAAAAATTGTCTACAAACTTTGATCGAAGATATCTCGGCGCCCACCTGACCAAATTCGGCCAACTTTTTTTTATTTAATTACAGAAAGCCGTAGAATTCAAAGAAAAAGTTGATCAAATTTGATCAGGTGGTGCTGAGATATCTTCGATCAAATTTAAAAAAAAAAATTTAAAAAAAAATTAAAATGATCTACAGTACGTGGCATTATCAAAAAAGGGTGTGGAAATATCAATTCCCTTCTTTTACGTTCATTTAAATCGCAAATACTGAAATACGAGCTAATCAGCAATTCATAATTTCATTTCATAGAAATCTGGTCCTTAATATCTTTTCAACGTAGAAATTCAAGTTTATACTATATAAAGATTACTTTATTATGATCTTACTAAATTATATTATTCGTAACAATTTTAGTATTTAATTAAAAATTGCACATGCAGATATAATTAATGCTAATAAAAATAGTAAAATAATAATATTATAAAAAATTGCGCATGTAGATATAATTAATTCTAATAAAAAATATTATAAAAATATAATTCTGTTCTTTTGCAGTTTTGAACAAAAGAATATTATCTATAACATTAATCAATTTATGGCATTATAAACTGAATTTCATGTACTACTTTGCCCATGATGATAGAATAAGAGAGTTGTAGTGAATTTTGAAGCATAGACATAACTATTTGGATAGTCAGTACCACCTGATAATTACAATATACAAAAAAAAAATGCTATAAATAAAGGACGAATATTTTTAATATTAACTTTAATTATTTTAACTTACATAAATTAATTGCTGGTGCTGCTCCGCCATTCCAATCTGTTAGAATAACATGGGTAATATCTGAAAATGCCCCTTGTCCTGTGGTATTCTGTTTATTTTTGATATAAATGTTAATCATGAATAATTGAAGCATTTAAATAATAGAATTATGACAATTACTTCAACTAAAAGAATTTCATCATGATAATTTTCTGGATTAGATGATGGTGAACTACCAAGAACAGTTACGTTCGCTACTAAGTATCACTTGGAATAGCTGATCTAAGGAAAATGTCATCGCCTAAATTTGTTATGAAATGAATGAATTACGTATGATTAAATCCGAATTTCAATATTCTCTATTTAACGATCTTCGTTTTTGATCAAAATGGTTGATCACTCAAAATTTATCGAATTCAAAATTAATCAGGGATATGCAATGCTGGTTTAATTCTGTTCGAAATTATAATTTCGACCAGAATTTAGTTCAAAATATTAAAATAAAACATTATTTTAATTATTACATGCCTTCGAAATCTACGTAAGCCACTGCTGAAAAGGGATAGTCGTTGAGATCTTTGTGGTTAAAATAAATATTACGAAATACATCTAAATCGCACAACATTATAAGCGATAAATTCGTAAAGTACCAAAAGCAGTAACAAAATATGTATATAGTACTTACTCTCTATCCATTGACCACTAGCAGTATCGCATATATAGTTGGCAATTCCACCAGTATATAACACAAATTTAAAAACAATTCCATCTGGAAGGGTGAAATTGCTCGGGATATTGATACCTTTTGGATACTCTTAATTTACAGAACAATTTATAGTTAGTGTATAGTAATGGATGTCAGATGGTACTAAAGATCATCAATAAATGGGATTTACCAGGATTTCCGATTGAAGAATATGATTTTGCTGGGGCTGCTTGGGTGCAACTTATGCTAAGCAAAAGAACAATTAAGACTGAAAACAATTCTAATTTAACCATCCTGGTAAGCTTATAAATCAAATATAAGTTCGTATATCTATCTATATGAATTGATGAAAAAATTGTTAAAATGAATAATATTCAAGAAAAAAATTAAAAAAATTATGGGTCAACGCGTAGAACTCGCTTACACTACCTTTCAATAAAATGAAAATTTTTTACAAGTCAAAAGACTTCTTTAACAACAATTCTAATTTAACCATCCTGGTAAGCTTATAAATCAAATATAAGTTCGTATATCTATCTATATGAAT